TCAATAAACATAAGTAAATATAAATAAATAAATACACACACACACATATATATATATATGTAACATCTACATATCTACATGGCTAGAGTATACATGTGTGTGTATATATATATATATATATATATATATATACGCTGATAGTCTCAAACTCTGTGGATAATTTTTCGACTGCCTAACCCCGGAGCTCAACCCGCACTGAAGGCTTTCCGACCTGCTTCAAGATTGTGCTGCAAAGGCTTGACTGGACCCTAAACCCAAAAAAACAGCAACCCCCGAGCATCATCCGAGTCCACATCCCCGGCAAGTTGAAGGTTTTAGGGTAAGGTAGACCCCTGAGCAGTGACGCGGTGATTGTTCGTATTGTGAGGTCTATGTGTGTTGCATACACTGTCCTTCCATTCGTTAGCGTTGGCGGTCGAAAGTCATCGGGTTCGGGCTGTAGGTCTCCCTAAACCCCAAACCCTAAACCTTAACCGTTGTCCTGACAGGATTGACTTCCACGGTGACCGGAGGCCGTAGAGGGGGCTCACACTCGGCTGATCGCATCGAAGACCTGCCGCTGCCGAAGGTGTATGCCTGAGGTTGGGAGTACCTATGAAGTACTACTGAAGTCTGCGTAAAATCCTGGTAAGGTGTATTTTGCTCGCCTTACCTGCATTATCCTGCATTTCTATTCTGTCATAGTTCTAGTACTGTTATTATTACCACAGTATTTATCCTTTTCACAGCTGCTGCTGCTGCTGTCTATTATGACGACGATGGCTAGTACGACTACGACTGCGACTCCCACGTTGCGACTCCGACTACTACTATTTCTACTTCTACTTTTCCACTTCCACTTCCACTTCCGCTTCTACTTCCGCTTCTACTTCTGCTTCTACTACTACTACTACTGCTGCTACTACTGCTGCTACTGCTGCTACTACTGCTGCTACTGCTGCTACTACTAGTACTACCACCACCACCGCCGCCACCACCACCGCCACCGCCACCACCACCACCACCACCGCCGCCGCTACCACCACCACCACCACCACCACCACCACCACCACCACCACCACCACCACCACCACCACCACCACCACCACCACCACCACCACCACCACCACCACCACCACCACAGCTTCTGCTACTACTGCTGCTACTGCTGCTACTACTACCACCACCACCACCACTGCTACTGCTACTGCTACTGCTACTGCTACTGCTACTGCTACTGCTACTACTACTACTACTGCTACTACTACTACTACTACTACGAGTGCTAGTACTGGTACTAGTCCCCCCTTTTGGTCGAGGGGTGATGCCCTCAGCATCAGGCATCGTCCCACACGCCAAGGGGACACTGTTCGAGTATTTGCAGCCACAAGGGCATTAGCTGAATGTGCTTTTGCCCTTAGTCTCGCTGCCGGTGCTGTGCGTGTGTGCGTGTTTGGTCGACCACCCCTCCCCCCAATGCCCCGCCTCTCTGAGCCAGTGTCCCCAGCTTACTACTTCGGTGAGAGATCATCGAGGGAAGAGCTTTGTTCCTGTGATGTGGGCTGTCTTGCCAAGTGTCCAATTCCAACCCAAGCCGCCCGGCTTGGGGGGGCGGGCCCAGAGGTTCGGGTGGCACATCCCTCCCCTAATCCCCGGCTCGGATCGAGGGGCCCGGAGCGTTGAACTCTGCACCGGAGCCCTGATGACGTATGCGGAGGGGCAAAGAAGGCGAGAGGGACCGTTTCCGTAGGCCGGAGAGCACCCCAGGTCGACACTCACTCACTCACTCACTCACTCAGTACTGGTACTAGTACTAGTACTAGTACTAGTACTAGTACTAGTACTAGTACTAGTACTAGTACCCGTACCCGTACCAGTAGTAGTAGTAGTAGTAGTAGTAGTAGTAGTAGTAGTAGTAGTAGTAGTAGTAGTAGTAGTAGTAGTAGTAGTAGTCTAGTACTAGTACTACTACTACTATTACTACTACTACTACTACTACTACTACTACTACTACTACTACTACTACTACTGCTCCCACCGCCCAGCCGCCTCTTGCTGCTGCTGCTGATGTTGCTGCAAATGCTCCTGCTCCTGGCACTGCTACTGATACTGCTACTGATACTACTTCTGCCGCGGCTGCGGCTGCGGCTGCACGTCGACGACTGCCATGACGACTACGACGACTACGAGTACGGCTACGGCTTCGTACCCAGCCTGCTGATCGTTGTGGTACCCTACACTTCAATCTGCCCGAAACTTCTTGAGTTAAGGCTACACCTCAAGCTTTAGGCACGTAAGAAGCTCCAAAGCCCAAGTTCAGCAATGAGAGCCGAGTCGAGTGCGAGCTCGTGCCCAGGATCTCCAGGTACACGGGGTTCGGCCTAAGCAGGCTTTGTGGCTTACTCCCGAGAATTCACACACGGCCAGCTCACTATGCGGTTGCAGGGGTTTACCTCCAAACAACCCCAGTCCGTCCGGCATGAGAGCTTCTTTCCATAAGAGGGTTCGTGCTGTCAGCACGTCAAGCAACTTTTGTCACCTTGCCAACAGCCTCAGCTTGCCTCAGCTTCATGAAGGATCATGTTCAAGCTTGCGGGTTCAAGTCCTTTGCCGATGTCCGGGGACTTTCAGTTAGAAGATCAACAGCAACAAGCGATGTGCGTTGAGGGTTTGGTCGAAGGAATCTGAAGCTGAAAACCTCAACTTCACAAATTGAGCTGGGAAGCCCTAAGCCTTGCATCTAATGAGCCCTTGCCAAGCTGTGGGAGTAGCCAGGAGGCCTGTAGCCGGGGTTCAGCCAGGGGCGACCGGCAACGCGCTCTGCTTATGATGCGATGCCGCAGGAAATTTAAAATAACGGTGGTGAACCATGCGCTTTGCCTCTGATCAGGCGACCCAGAGCCGGGTTAGAAACAGGTCCGTAAGTGATCAATCGCCATCAACATGTTATTCGTGGCCTGCTTGCTGCGGCTTCTGATGTCTCAAAGCAGCATCCAAAATCCTAGACTCTCCGACCCTACGGCTACATCCCAAAACGCAGATCCCAAATGCAGATATTATGTGCCCTCGTCGTCGCTGTAGCAGTGCCTGGGCGGCGGTTGCCGCAACTCGGACAAGAAACTATAGAACTCCGCAGAACTCAACGTGCTGAGCAGACGGTCATAGTAGGAAACTACGTGAAGCATGGAGAAGAAGAGCCAGGTACGATGGGTAGGAAGGTGAGAACAAGACAACATATCTTTTCCAGACATCTTCTTGTTGGAGTACAAAAGCGGAGAAAGTTAGACGTCAGAGCAAACAGAGCTTTCAATGGACAAAAACCAACGCTTGAGCTTCTGGAGAAGGACAACAGCAGTTCAATCCAGGTTCAGTCTAACAGTATGTCGTCGTCCGCATGATTGCAAAGCTGAGAAGCAGTCCAGTTGCTTGCATGTGATTCCTCCTTTGTTTAGCAGTGTATTCGTCGCGTGTCGTGACGTTTCCAAAGATGCTCCGAGCCAGGTCCTCACATTATGACCATCATGAACAGCGTTTTCATTGTCATTATCACCATCATCACCATCGGCTATGATTCTCAAAAATGCGACTATCATAACCGTCATAAGCATTGTCGTCATCATTATGTCATGATGACTGTGGTCATGATTCTTATTCCTATTTTTTGTCGTTATTTCCGATTGCATTTATGTGTTTATGACGACGTTTATGAATATTTGTGCTCATGAGTTTGAAAGGATGCTTATGACAATGAATATGGTTGTGATGGTCGTAATGATGAGGATGATGGTGATGATTCGTTTAAGGATTATATGTTTCTGATTATGATCGCGGTTATGACGGTGCCAATCATTGACATTACCACTACCGGTGTCGTTGCTGTCACTATCATCGCCAAAGTCATTATCGTCATTGTTATTGTCATTATCATCATCATTATCATCGTCATCCTCTTTCTCATAGTCGTCATTACCACCAGCATGACAATTACCATGGAAATTGCCTCTTCCGTTTTTCGCTATCAAAAGCATGACTGTTATAGGTATCCTTGTGGTATCATTGCGATCATTGTGTCTGGCTCACACTGGCACATGCTCTTCGTCAGGTTGGGCTTGTCTTTAGTCTACTGCTGGCGCTCGACCGATCCCGATAGCCCGTCAAGATGTAGAACCACACTCTTTGCAATATATGGGTTTCGGCTCAACATTACTTAGTTTTGCAACCTGGGCTTCTTCGAGCTAAATTTGCAGCGATGTACCAGCAACTCGTTTGGATCTCAGCGCCAAACCCGGTAGGTTTCGACAGTTGCGTTCTTAACATTAGCCAGTTTGAGTGTGTTCTGAAGCTATGAGACGTTTGCAGGGGGTTTCTCAAGCTTGTCAGTTCTTTGAGGGCATAGGGTAGAGAGTTTTGGGCTTCCCGGTGCGGAGTGTCGCAATGGCGCTTTTCCCAGAGGCTTGCTGGAGCACGATTGCTTGGTCCACCACAGCTGCCTCGAACTCCGACACGGGCATAAAGTAAAAGCCAGAAAGTTGGATTTTGATTATCCTACCCCTTCTATGGTAAATTATAGGGTATCCTACCATGAAACCATATTCAAACTTTCTGGAGTTCCCTGTAGATTTAGGAAATCGAAAGGCTTGTTCCGAGTCACGGGCTGGAAGCTAAAACTCGAGCTCTCCTCTCGTCAAGAATTCGGGTGTGCACCTCCAAGCTCGTTTCAGCTTGTTTATTGACGGGGAAGCGGTGGAGTTCAGCCTGTCGAACTTCAGTGTTCATGGTTTCAGATGTTGGCTACACTTAGGCTTACGTTACTTGATTGAAGTTATACTCTGTAGGGTATCAGTTTGAGCCCCAAATCTATGCCCCAACGTTGATGCCCAAATGTTTATTTGCGAACCGGCAAACCAAAGCGCGAAATCTGAGCCCTAAGCACACACCCTCAACTACAAACTCTAATTTTTCAAACCCTTTCAGCTGTTGGCTCAAACTCTGCAACAAAGCTCTTGCAGAAAGCTGCCAAGATGTGGGTTCCAAGCATTGTTTGGCTGGCCTGGGCGTATAGTCTGACCCGTGGCAATTCGAGCCACACGTCTGAGTCGGGCATGGCTGTAAGGAGGACCCGAGTTCTCCCCAAGTTGAGTGGGAAGGAGGCAGACCGCTTCTTCGAGACGTGCCAGGCTAACCAGATCCTACAGAGGTTGCATTCAGTTCCGTCCCGAGTTCGCAGCAAGGTGGGGGTTTCCGAAAATAGGGCTACTTTATTTTGGGGTCCTTATAAGCAGGATCCTACTGTTTAGGGTACTGTACGTATTGGGGCCCCCTATTTCGGAAACCCCCAGGTGCAGAAGGCGGAGGAGTTCTGCGAAAGAGGCGTTGGGACAGCCGTGTGGCATCCGTTGCCCAACGGCTCACTCGCTGGATTTTGCTGCCCTGCGAACGCAACCTGGTGTCGCGGCTGTGCGGAAGCTGATGGCGACGCACAAGCATGCGGCAGGTGCCACCAGCGATCGTAGGGGCTTGTGTGGTCTCAGATTATGCCAGTCAGAAGGAGAGGTGTTTTGATGGTGTTTTGAGAAGTTCTCATATTGCTGCGGCGCAGTTGAGCATACATTATCTTCTCAAAGCTCTGTTTAAAGGCCATCAGTCTAGTCGAGAAAGCATGGCGATTCGAGGGGGCATGAGCCTGGAGTTCAAAAACTCCTAAATCCTAAACCGCAAGGCCCAAACCATAAACCCCAAAAGCTTTAAACCAGGTGCCGTGGCGGCTGGATCTTGAAGGATGGGCATTGCAGCGCTTGCATGGACCTCCCTGCGTGGCAGGACCTGCAGGGTAGAAATTGCCATGCCGTTGTGGAGGCAGGGGCTTGCAGCACGGGTCGCTGCTCGGCGAAAATGTGGAGTTTGAGAGTAGCGAAGCATGCTAGGTTTTATGGGTTTTCTACCGGATTTCGACACCCTAAACCCTATTCTAAACCCAACCGTAACCAAACCCTAGTTATTCTAACCAACTGCCCTAGTTATTTACCTTGAAAGCAGCCGAGGCTTCCACGGCGTCTCTTCGGTGATGGCATGCTGCGGCTGCTCGGGCGGCTTGCGCACGGCAACAGCATTTGCCTACTACTCGGAGCCCATAGTTTTGGGTGAACGCCGCTTTTGCCGAGAATCAGCAGAATCCCTTGGTCTCGCCCGATTTAGGCCCAGAAAATGACCCGAGAGTTAGGTGTTCTTCAACGGCCCTACTACATAGTCAACTGGAAGTTCGCTACGGCCCGAGGTGTCGTGAAGGGCCATCCGCTGCCGCGAACGGCTTCGCGCTACTCCCTGGACAGCGCTTGCAAGCTCTTGGAGTATAACCTCACGATCGACGGCAGCACAGGCCTGTGGCCCAGGGCACATTTGCACCTCTTGTGCTTACGTGCTCTTCGCCCGATGGCTGAGGTGAGCTGCGCTTGAAGCCCGGCTGTGAGTCCGTCGGCTGCGGTGGAGCCGTGCAGCTTGGCAGCGACAGTCCGAAGCATTCTGAATTTTTATAGACAAAAACTGGCCAGACTAAGGGAAGACTTCGAGGTGTCGTGCAGGATCACCGCCTACGAGGGCCGGCTGAACTTCTCTGCAGAGCTCGTCGTCACCGCCTCGAAATTCCTTGCCTACGAGAACTCGGTGCTCGTGGCCAGGGCCGCCACGGCTGCTAAATCGGCGACAGACTTCACTCCGCGGTTTGCAGCAGAGGTCTCGCCCCGGGATCTCCAGCTCAGCTGTGCGCCGGAGCTCGCGTCCTCCGGGTCCTCTGCTTGGCTGCGGCTTCGGGACGACGGCGGCCTCACAGTGAACGCCACGGCGACTTAGGGGCTAAGTAGGTAACCTTTAACCTTTTGGGATTATGCTATCCTAATACAGTTCATTATGTTTTCCTAATATAACTCATTATGTTATCCTAATATAATTCGTTATGTTATCCCAATATGATTCGTTATGTTATCCTAATATAATTCGTTATGTTATCCCAATATGATTCGTTATGTTATCCTAATATAATTCGTTATGTTATCCTTCTATAATTCGTTATGTTATCCCAATATGATTCGTTATGTTATCCTAATATAATTCGTTATGTTATCCTACTATAATTCGTTACGTTATCCTAAAAATTTTTCGTTATGTTATCCTAAAATAATTCGTTAGGTTAGCCTTTTTTGGGGCTAGGGTACTCAGCCCCTAAGGCGAAGGAAGGGCTCCCGGGAGTCACGGACCTCCACCTCCCGGGGCTCACTGCGGCCAGCGGCAGCCTCTGTCACCGAGCTTTGGAGTACCATACTTTAATTCTTTTTCTTAAAGGAACCATTATGAAAGAGAGTCCTAAACCCTAAACCCTATAGTACCCTTAAAGTAGCCCTTATAGATCCCTTAAAAGTAACCCTTATAGATCCCTTAAAGGAACCCTAAACTTAAAAGCCCAGGTCACGTCCAGCAGGGCAAGAACGTGACGGCTGTGGCTGCGGCTCGTGCCCAAATCTGCTTAGCCGCAGCGATGCCTTGAAAATGCACGAAAATCAGAAAACCCTAAACCCTAAACCCTAAACCGCAAAACGCAACGTAGCTGTCACATCAAGGTCTTGGTGCCGGACACCTGGACCTCCATCCACTATCGGCAGGCCTCCGTGATTGTGGCACCGGGTGCATCCCTGGGCCCTGCCTTGGAGCCTCTGACCACGGGCCAGGTGGGCCCTCACCGTATACCATACCCTAAACTTCCAGTTGCTGTAGGGCCCTTGCGGTCCCAGTCGGAATACTTTTGCCTTGACTCTGCCAGATTCAAGGGGAATCTTGGGATCCCCAAGCCCTAAACCAAAGAGCCCTAAAACTTAAATCCGAAAGCCCTAAACCCTAAAGCCCTAAACCTTAAACCCCAAGCCCTAAACCCTAAAGCCCAAAACAACCAGGTGTCTCCAACCCGTTTCTCGGCCACCTGCAGCTCCAACTTCACCAATGGCTCCATGGAGCTTCCAGCCAGCAACACAGGGCCCTTATCTGGGTTCTTGTTAAGGAACTTAATTTAAGTTACCATAATAGGGATCTATCGTAAATAATAGGGTTTCCTTATTATGGTAACTTAAATTAAGTTCCTTAACAAGAACCCAGTTATGGTTTGACCAGGGTTCCCTTAAAGGGTTCCTTTCAAAGGGGGGTAATAAGGGGGCCATTTATAGTGGGGTTCTATCGTCTCGGGGACAGGAATTACCTATACCATTTAAAGTGTTACTCATTATTTCTCGTTTACCCCAGAACCCTGTTCTGATCATGAAGGCCCCTATAGTACTGCCTTAACCTACTTTGTTGCACGCAGGGTCCTGATATAAACTGTCACATAAACCCTGATATTGAGCTTACTGGGGCCCTCCAGTAAACTAGGTTTTGGTGGGTGCAGGTGGAGCATACCGGAGTACGCCACATCGTACTGTTGATGATATAAACCCCTGCATTACCTTAAGGACCCTAAACTATTCGAAATTATGGTGTATTCCGTACTTCGGGTAATGCAAGATTTATATCATCAACCGTAGTATGGTAGGGTACATAGCAGATTTACCATCGCGCTTATGGACCCGAGTCCGGTCCCTGAGCTAGGGGATCCCAAGCCAGTGATTGGGTTATAGGATCCTTAAGGGGGGGTGGTTCAAGGGGGGAGGGTACTAGGGAGCTTTGGGGAACCTTAGGGAAGCTTAGGGAGTATTGGGGAATAATGGGGATTACTAGGTTACCTACCCCCCTTGGACCACCCCCCCTTAAGGACATCCTAAGTGGGTTGGTTTAGGGTTTGCTGGGATTCAAGTTGCCATATTCGGGATCTATATAATAAATAATGTGGTTCCTTATTCGGTAACTTACTGGGATTCAAGGTACCATATTCGGGATCTATATAGCAAATAATGTGGTTCCTTATTTGGGTAAGTTAAGCCTGAGGCCCAAAATAGCCCAAAAGCCTTATATAGTATGGTCTTTGGGCCCAAAAGCCCTAAAATATGAGTCCTCAGAGCCTAAGGGTGAGCAATTCCTTTACAAGACCCCAGTTTACAGTATCCCAAAACCAAGGATTGAGTTTGACGACATGACGGGCCTGGCGACCGTGGCGGGCTATGTCGTTTTCCAGTTGAACATAGCAACAGGCTGGGTTCCTGTTAAGGGATTTAGGGTTTAGGGTTTAGAGACTAGGGATAAGGGATTTGATCTAAGTTACCATAACAGGGATCTATGGTGAATATCAAGGTTTCCGTATTATGGTAACTCCCTTAACAAGAACCCAGCAGGCGCCGTGCAGGTCTCGCCTGAGGTCAACCTGTCTCACATCTTCGACGTAGAGAGCACTACCGGCAAAGCAGTTCCACGTCGAGGCCGTTTGGACGTGTCCTGCATCATCCTGGGCCACTTCGAATGGCAAGTGGGCATACCGCAAGTCCCCATTCAGGGAAGCCTTCACATCTCCGTGCAGGATTCGATTCCACCCTAAACCCCTCTAGACGCCTTTCAAAGGAACCCTAAAAGCCTCTATAGGCCCCTTTTAAAAGGAACCCTAAAAGCTCTTACTATAGGGCCCTTTCTAAAGGAACCCTCTTCATATCTCCGTGCAGGACTCCATTTGCTGGAAGCGAGCACTGGACACGGGCCATGGCTGGAGCCTCGGGCGAAGCCTCGGAGGGAGCTCCCTTGGCCCTGGCGAGTGCCGCGGCAGCTGCAGGAGACTGGGTTCTTGTTAGGGGATGTTAGGGGATTTAGTTTAAGTTACCAAAGCTACCATAATATGGGTCTATAGTGAATAATGTTCTTGTTAAGGGATTTAATTTAAGTTATCATAACAGGGATCTATAGTGAATAATAAGGTTTCCGCATTATGGTAACTTTCTGAAGGCCCTTAACAACCCAGATCAACCCAGGAGAGATCCAGGCTGCGCTGTCTACAGCTACTCCCCGGGCCTCTGCGTCTCCCTCGCACCGTGCGGCCCACATCCGAAAGACGAGTGTCAGCCCTACGTTGAGGCAGTGGAGAAGGTTGCGAACTGCAGCATGGAGCACACGTGTCTCAACCTGACGGCTGCTGAGCCAGTGTGGCTGTACCTTTGTCACAGTTCAGTAGCATTTTACATTTTTATGGGTACTTAAAACCAGTAAGGACTAAAAATGTACATTTCTAATACTATCCCAACATGAACTAGGTACAGTGGCATCTTCTGCCCGGTGGCATTTGGGGTGGAGCCAGCCACGGACAAGCTCAGCTGGGTGTATCGCAAAGAGGAGCCGGTTGTCAGCGCGCTGGACGTGTTCTACCTGCAAGCTTCCGAGATGGATCCAGAGGTCGCGTGCGGCTCTGGCAATTTGCTTCTTACCAGGACCTTGCACCTAAACTCTGAACCCTCTCAACCCTAAACCCGAAAACTTTTGAATCCTATCAACCCTAAACCCTAAAACTCTTGAAGAGGTCTCTCGGGTTTTTGTGGCAGGGTCGGTACTGGCCTGGTAGGAGTAATGCCACATGGGATTTGTGGGCTTCATTATCATAAGTATAGTATATAGCTTTATGGGCCCCAAAACCCTATTCTAATTATTAAGGCCCGGAGGAGTAATGCCACATGGGATTTTGAGAACGCGACTTCCAAGTACATGGAGCTGTTCGGCTCTCACGTCGCATGCCTCGTCAGTGTGTCCGGCGCAGAAGTGGTTCCAGCCACCTTCGAGCGCGGAGAAGAGAGCCTTTTTGGGCAGAACGAGACGGACTACTTGGGCATAGGCCCTTTGAGCAAACAACGACTGGGATAGTACGGGCATCAGCCTGCAATGTTGACGCAACGCGAACCCGCCTCGGCCCTCCTGGCAGTCACCCCGACTCCCTGGCTTCATGACAAGCCTCCCTGTACCCCTCGTCTATAGCCCCGGAATGGGCTCACGCACTGCCGAAACTTATCCGGCCGCCGGTTCACTTTTGCGGTAAATTGGTGTGCAGCCTTTCCATACCCCTGCCGAGTATAAGGTTACCAGGCCATGTTTACGCTGTCTTGGTGTCCATAACGCCCCCGCCCCCTCCAAAAGAGATAATCCCCCAAAACCCTCACAACTTCGAACAAGCTCATACCTCTCCTTCCTAATCCCGGAATAAGCCTCTGTACTGCCGTGTGTATGACACCCTCATACCGCCCGATAATCCCCGTAACCCTCCCTCATAGCCCCCCAAAAAAAGAGCACCCATGCTAGAAAATGCGGTTATTGTCCATGTGGCTCTGACCGTGGCTTGTGCGTGATTTGGCTGGTTAATGAAGCCCTGCTCCTGCCGACTCCCTGCCCTCATCCCCCTCCCTTTTAGGGTTGAGAAACTTTCCTCTTTTTTACAGTCCGTGTTGATCGTCCTCATGTCTTTTCCTGTATGTAGTACATGAATCGACTGCACATGCGAAAGTTGCATGACAAGTCTTGCTGACAACTGTACCTTGCGCAGACGTCTTGGGCTTGAATCGAGAAAATCGGCTAGCTGTTTGTGAACGGACACTCACCAACTGCACTCCTGCTTCTAACTGGTAGCGGAGCAGTGAGGACGTTCACTAGGTGTCACCCCCGAGAGCCGTCTGTCCGGGGACCGTAGAGGAAGAGTAGAGATAGTTGTGGAGCAAAGGCCCCTGCTAGCTTCGCCATGTCAGTCGCAGGCCTTCGCTACCAACCAAATCACTGGTCCCAGAACCTTGTGCCTGCCGAGACCAAAGGCGGCTCATTCATATATGATGGGACCGCGGCTGGGTTCCACGATTGGCAATTCCGGACACAGATCCGAGTGCTTCAACACCGCGAAAAACAACGTCGCGAGGCTTTGAAGGATCTGCGTTCCGCCGCATCGGCCAGATCTAAAAGCGATTCGCCAAGAAAGTGGCGCGGCAAGGCAAGCCAAGGGAGCAGTGTCCATCCCACAGAGGATGAGTCAAGTAGCGGAATACCCGCTAGTCCTTCGAGCGCGAGAAGGACTAAGCCTGCATTCGAGGCCGATGAAGATGATGGTGCAGAGTCGATGCCCTCACACCCGAGTCAGGTTGAGGGCGATGATGATGAACCGGACACTGAACCGGTGATGCCGACGATGAAGGACATCAAAGATTCCGACCTGGACATGTCCGAATGCGTTCAGAAGGTACTCGAAGGGCTTCGAGGTGACGCCTTCTGCATTGCCCGAGACATAGGTATCGAACGGTTACTTCGGTATGATGGGATAGACCATCTTGCTGAAGAAATCAGGCGCCAAGCTTTCCCGCTACAGAGCGAAGAGGCCTCCGAACTTTTCCGTCAGGGACAGACAGCTCCTGACGGGCCCGCTCGCAAAGCAGCCCGGCGAGCCTATGTTGTCGTACATAGCCCGCCGAAAGCGGTGGTGGTCGACCTTGCAGGAGCTAGACCCCGACATTCGCCTCTCCGAGGCGATGAGGGCTAACCTTCTTGTTGAGCTTTCGGGGTTGGAAAGAACAGAACAGCTAATGGTCAAAACCGCCGCCCGCACACATCGTGTGGAGGAGTACGCACGCGTCCTTGTTCAGCACCACTCAGTGGTGCATATGGAAGAGCGCCTTCTGACACAGAAGGATTCCAATGGCCCAGGTAAGACCTGGAGGCGTTTCGATGCTAAGCCCCAATATCCCAAGTTTGGCTGTATGGGGTATGATGGCAGTGCCGTTGAGCAAGACCACCAGGAACAGCATGAATCCGCGGAAGGCTACGGTGGTGGCTACGGTGATGAAGCGTACCAGGCCACAGCGTCTGGGGGAGATGATGCGGATGAATGGGTCGAGGATGAAGACCTAGCATTGCAACTTAACGCCTATACGGCGGTGGAATTCGAAGCGGAAGTTGACGACTTGGACGATTCCTACGCCGAGTCGGTTCAGCTTGCATATGCGGCACAGACCGCATTCACCCAGGCGAAGGGAAAGGGAAAGAACAAGGGCAAGACCCCCGGGAAACCCGGTGGGAAAGTTGTGCGTAGTAATTTGACTAGCTAGCAGAGCTCAAAGCAAAAAGCAGGTGCTTGAAGTGCGGCGTGATCGGCCACTGGGCCGGAGATGCTGCCTGTAAGTTTAGCGATAAGGGCAATGGCTCCAAGGGCACCGCTACTCCAGCACAGTCTGGAGGAACTGCTAGCGCGGCCGCAAAGCCGGCAGCACCGAAGCCACAGGCGTACTGCGCCGCGGTTGAAGAGGATGACACGGAATGTGTTCATTTGTCAAATGCGAGCGCTGGCAGACTCGAGGGATATCCGGCCAACTTAGAGATGACCCCCTCGAAGTCCAAGACCGGCAAAGGCCGTGGCAGTGAAACCCCGTTCTCACCTCAGCTTCGGCGCTCAGCCGCCGCGGGGATTATGCGTGACAGCCCACCTGTGGGTTCCGATCGTGTCTTTTCCTTTGGTGAGCAGAAGGGATTGACTTACGAACGGGTTCTCTATACCTACCCTGGGTATATCCCATGGGGGCGCACGCAGAAATGCCCATCCATAGGGTTGGCCGACTTTTTGAACTGGGTCACAGAGTACTTTGACGTACGAGATGACACCCCCATTAGCATTACGAGAAGAGATATTCCTCTCAGCCAAGAGCCCCCGCCTAGGTTCGCCTCGCCGCCTCGGCCGCTTCCTCCAGCGAAGGCCCCCGGAAATGCCGGGGAGGTTGCAAGGAGTTCAGTAAGTCGGGAAGCAACGCATACATAGATATGCGAACGTGTAAGAAATGCGGCACCATTACCAAGACAAAGAAAGAAAAGCCTGTCATAGACCAGGCCACATGCCCTCACACCTCCACCGAGAGGTCAGGAAGCAGTAGAAAGACTTCCCGCGTCAAGTGCAAACTTTGTGGGATGCTCCTAGATGAGCAGCCCCAGACCGAGCGAAAGGCTAGGGAAGACGCAGCCACAGTGCTGCGGGAGTCCAATACCCTGGACTTCGACCTGCTGCGCAGTATCGTCGAAAGCACGGGAGATAGTCTTCCTGTTGAGGTAGTAGCTCCGCCATTGTCCAGTTCCAAGAGACTGTAGAGGGTCATTTCGTGACCGAGCCCGTTATATCACGCGGCGATCTCCTTGCATATCTCCAGGAGGCTTTGGATGACCACGCGGCCCCCTCGACCAACAACAGTTGGGAGGTAGCGTCGGTGAGATCGCGCTCCTCGAGGGCTTCGGCGACGAGGCAGGGTTTCGTGGCGTTTACTGAGGGAGTCACGGATATACACCCGGCCCTGGTTGACTTACCCGTAGTAAACATCTACGAGGATGCACATGTGTACGCAGTCCTAGACGAGGGTTGCAACTCCACAGTGCATGGTAGCGATTGGATAGCAAATGCAGCAGGCAAGCTCGCTAACCTTGGGTGTAGCACCAGGTTCAGGCCGGAGGGGAGTCGGACTTTCAAGGGTCTTAGCGGTGCTACCGAGACTTTGGGTAGCAGGACCATTCCCTTCTCTATAATGGGATTGGAACAGGATTCGAGGGTCCCCGGCGTTCTTGATTCGCACGAGATTAAGGGTACAGCCCCTCTCCTCCTGTCCCTTTACGCGCAGGCCCAGCTTGGTATAACCAAAGACTTGCGATTTGGAATGTGTGGTGTTCGGCTACCTTCAGATCAGGTCATCAAGATTAGGCTATGCCGAACACATGATTCAGGGCTGTTGTGCATAAACATAACAGAGGGCCTAGCGCAACCCAAGCAACCTCGCCTCACTAAGGGTTTCCAGATCCCTTGCCCGCCGGTCCCAATGTTTAGGTCCGCTGCCACTACAGCTCACCCAGATCACGTGAGCGAACCCACCGGTGAGGCGACAGGTCACAGTCACAGCACTGTAGCAACAGCAACAGCAGCAGCGGACACTCGCAACAACACGAAACGACGCATAAGCGTAGCATTCCCTAACCATTGCATGGTAGGAACGACAGATTCACAGGATTCTGTAGATGCCCCGACAGGACATAGCGCGCCTAACGACAGCAATGGCGGCGCAGTCAGGGGAGAAGTTGCCGTCGAAGGCGCCCCCAGTGCCAGTGCCAAACGCTGCGCCAGCGATTCTTGCAGCGGCACCGGCTGGGCACAGTCCCACGCCCAAGGCACCTCCGGGCGGACACAGTTCCGCCCCGGCACCGAAGGCCCCGCCGGGTCAAGCAGTAGCACCGAAGTCGAAGGCGCCACCTGGGGATAGCCCACGTCCGCCAAGGCCCCTGCACGTGCCACAGTGCACCCGAAGACGGCAGCCCAGAGCCACCGCGACCTGGAGCAGTTCGACGTTCCTGGTTATAATGCCAAGAGATGGTGTCAATGGGCCAGTTTTGAACTGCCCTCTCCCAGCGGCCGTGCATAATCACGACCTGGCGTTGATGCCACACTATGAGGGGAACATAGATGACCCCGATATTATAATAGACGTCTTCACATGGGGGTATGAAGATCATGCCTGGCTCCAACGTGTGCGAAGCCGTTGGACCTGTGAAGAGCTCTTCGCACAGCACGAAGAGATGGAAACGTATGGGATCACGACCCATGCTTCCTCCACCAGCTATATGCTGGTGATGCTCGATATGGTCTGGATGAAGGATGACCGCAAAGACGGTCTCACGCCGGCCGAGGCGCAGCGCCTCAATGATGAGCAACGTGAGCGCACCAAGCACGTTATTGGCTCACATCCCGATATAATTCGGGCGGACCATCCCAATTTGATAGCTCACACCAGGCATATCCTGGCGAACATCGAGGACGCTATAAGGAGGCGGGCATCC